GGCAATGGTGGATAGACAACAATAGAATCGAGGCCCCGAAAGCCAAGGTCAGCGAGAAGGATGAGGTGGCCGTTGCACATCAGAAGACGTGGCAGAACTTCTTGAGGGCCTGCATGGGGAAGGCATGCGACAAGGCATTTGTAAAGCAAGCTCTCGAGAATGAGTACAGTAAGGATTGGAGTAATAAACTCCGGGGCTACATGAACCTCGCCACATCCAGTGTCGCAGTGTGGCCGCTGGTCAAGAGGTTCTTCGAGATGTTCAACGAAGGAAAGCTCCCAGTTGGCGATGGCAAAATCCCGCTTGACATGCCCGGGAGAATAGAAGGCCACCTGCCAGGCCCGTACACCGACAAGACCAAGGGACAAAGAACATTGTACCATTGCATATATGCAATAGATGGTCCCAAAGGCTCCACCGTGTCGTGGAAGGACCTTTGTCCTTCCTACTTCAAAAATTTTGGGGATTTGACATGTCGTGAGAGGGAAGTTTCGTTGCTCCTGCTAATGAGGGGAAGGTGGTCGCAACGAACGTCAAGGTCTTGCCTCCAAGAGTGAACACAGAGTGCCTCCTCGACATCATGCGAAAGGAGCGGTACATGCTGCGTATGTTCAATTATGTTTTGTTCTGCGCCGAGGGAAGGGCGGACGACGAATGGAACGACGCGTTCTTCATGTCGTACAAGGACCTTGAAGACAGGTATGGGCCAAACGGTCTGTGCGCTGCTGAATGGGAGAAGGAACGGGACAAGTTACATGTCAATAAGGTGAAGATGGTCCCTCGACGACTTGGAGGAGTGGAGGAGGCAAGGCAAGGCGCGGGCTTGGGGCCTACGACGACAATGTATAAGGAGGCTCCGTTTCACCTTAAGGTCTTCATATACACTGCAATCGATAAGCTTGATTTGCTTCACGCCGAGGTGAAACGGATCGCCTCCAGCGCGCGTCATATTGTGTGGGACAAGATTGGCAAACAAACGACGTTGCTACCTGTGTGCATGCCATCGAAGGAAGTGTTGGCAGCGCTAGACGACATCGTCGCTGCAGCGCAAAAAATGACATGCAGGGCCGCCATCGTGGACATCCCATCCTCGAACTTCAGCACGACGTGGACCTCTCACGAATTTGATGCCTTGCACACATTGATGACCAAGTGTTGTGGCCAGAATTGGGTCCTTTTCTTCTTTGCGCCGCAGAAGGTGCAAAGCGATGTTCTGCGTCACTTGTTCCGCTGGGAGGATGTCGAAGTCATCCCCGGGACCTGGAAACGGGTGGACAGGCTACCGAACGACATCACACGATACGGCACTATGGCTACGACGAGTCGAGATATGATGGTCATTGTCCTGCACGTCGATGGAGGGGATCTGAAAAAAGTAACTGTCAAACCCCGACTCCACAATGACCTCACAACCGTGCACGTTGTGGAGGAGAAGTTCGGGAACTGTCAAGGTAAACATGGTGGGATAGAGGGCGATGATAGTGCGGTGTATTCCATCTGGGAGCGAGAGTCTGGAAAGTTACGTTCATTGTGCGGGTCATTTGTCGGAGAGGCGGAAGGTGTGCTTTTGTTGGGTAGAGCACACGCAGGTCTTGTGTGGGAGTTATTACTGGCAGGTAATAATGTCCTTGCCTGCGACGAGTGTCCTTGCCTGCGACGAGTCGGCCAAGGACATTGCATATCTGACAAAGTTCGTCGATATACTTGTGAAGGATGAGAGATTCGCCTGTCATGTCGAGAAGCCACGTTGCAAACATCGTAGCAACAGGGACATGTCCACAAGTTGGGACGCAAGAGACTGAAGATGTGGGAATACCTGTTCCGCGATGCGCCACAAGGACGGCTTGACGGGAATTACATCTACAGGAAAGCGAAGGTGACAGAGACCCTCAAACATTATCACGGTGCTCTTACTGGCGCCTTTGAGACTTTTGTCGCTCGATGCGAGATCCTGAAGTTCGATCTTCATAAAGACCAGCTGATGTCCAAGGACTACGCTGACCTCGCGAAATCGGGTGATGACTTTAACCCCGTCGACAGCGAGGAAAACTCTTCGGGGTTCGACCTCGAATTGGGCGATGGCAAGGGTGGTGAAGGTCCGGGCGGTGGCATGGTGCGGTCACACGATGAAGGGACCGTTCGCTCGCATGAAAGACCCGTACAGGTGGCCGCCCCCAGTGTTGGCTCGATGGTGGCCCCCATGGAGGGCACCGGTTTGCCAAACATGGGAATATGTGGTCCCAATGATGAAGATGACATTGATATGCCAGGCGAGGCGTCGAAGCTCGCACCAGGCGATCCAATTCCTCCCGGCTATTGTGCTGATCCGACCACAATTTATTTCTTGGGGGGCAAACACGCCCGCACTGGTGAGGATAAGTGGGGCCATGACATCGTGTGGCATGAGGGCATTTTTTAGCCCTGCATCCAAGATGGGGAGTGGAAGATGGCGGTCAAATACACACGCGGATGGCAGACGTTTCGCCGGATGTCAAAGGACACATGGCTGAAAACGACAGAACTCGCGATTATGTACCACGTGCAAAAGGAGAATCCTAGGAAGAGCGAGGGCGCTGTCAAAGACAAGGCCAAAGAATTGTTTTCTGTATTGCGAGACAATCAGCAGTTAGAGTACAGTTGGAAATTTTACGCCCTGCGAACGAGTCCCTCATGTGGGTCAATCGACTGGAAGGTCAATCAAACTATCGGAACCATGGAGGGGAGCAGCTCTCAGGATGCCGTGCCTTTGTCGGCATCGCCCCCCGTACCCACGCAGGCAGGGCAGAGGGAGGATGACGGGAGTAATGTGGTGAAGACTCAAGAGGTTCACATGACGTTTATGCCGCAAATCTCCGTCGACACGACAGAACCGTCCAAACGCATGGATGTGTCAAATGCAATGTCGTCAGATGCAGGTGCTACGTACGAGAGTTTATTACTGACATCCGCCGCATTAGAAGGCATATCCGAAATGCAGTCAGAGTCAGGTGTTGGCCTGAGCGTGCCGGACAGTCAGTTGCAATCGGAGTTATGCACAGGCAAAGGTGATGCACAAGTACATCTGACACCACAGGGAGGGGCCGTTGCGGATGGTGGGAAGGGAGAGGATGTGGAGGGAATCCTTCATCCTTGCAATCTTGAGACCTTAACTGATGATTTCAATTATGGGGGTGAGGGTGGAAATGACGTGGTCAATACGAGGGGAGTGTGAAATGATCGGTGAGGCGGGACGGGGGCGATGGAGAGGGAGAAACCAACGATATGATTACAATGTTATTCTTTTCTTTGTTAATTGAAATCGCACAATTGACTCGTTTGTTTTTAGTTTCAAATGGAACTAGTATTAGTCTTCGTAGGCACTACGACCACCTGATTTTTTTTTATGTATATATATTTTTTTCCTCAATATTACGTTCGACCTAAGATGTTTAGGATACTTGTCATTTTCGAAGTGGATGTGTGTATGCGGATGTATTCGGACTTGGATCTCTCTCTCTCTCTCTCTCTCTCTCTCTCTCTCTCTCTCTCTCTCTCTCTCTCTCTC